AGAGAGAGAGAAAATGACACATAATTCAATGGCAACACAAAATTAAGCAACTCCCCCGAAAATTCTCATTACTGTACTGTGAACAAAATCTTTTAAAATGTATCCTGCTCAATGTTTTCAGTAAAGTTTCAAGTTGTATTAAAATAAACAAAAAATAATAATTTAGTACAACACATGAAATCATTTCACTGAAACACATTACAATTTACACATCATCATCATCATAATTATTATAATAATATTAAAATAATAATAATTATTATTATTATTAGTATTACAGTAATAAGAATGAAACTTTTTACATTAATGTTGGCGACTTAAATTGGAAAGATACGTTTTAATGTTAAATTCTCCAGACATATCACAATGCATAAAAAAAGTGCTATTTACACATTTCATTATTTTTCTTTCAGATTTTTTTCTACTCTTTACTGTACATAGACAGCTGACTTCTAAGACAGCAACCAAACTCAAATGCAACTTTACAAGTGACTGATTTGGAACAGTGCAAATGTTTTCCATTAGCATATCTTTATGATGTTCTATAAGCATAAACATATGCCATGATTATTAATTAGCCAGAATAAACAATTATGCTGCCTAGGTTTTGGAACAGCCTTTAAATGCTTCAGCTCACTAAGCTGAGGAACGGAGCCAACATCTAGTTTTCTAACATCATAGATCGATTTTGAACAACCTAAAAATTCAATACTGGAATTTTCTTTTAAACCAGCTAAGCATAAAGCTTTACATTTCTGCAACAATGAGGAATACAAAATGCTTCTGATTTAAAGAACAATTTCAACAGCAATACCTGTCACAGCCGCTGTCTCTCTAAAAACTAAAACGTTTTGATGGCCATGCCCTTGTGAAAAAGAAGTGTGCTTAACTGTATTGAATGTGCACTTCTAGTGTACTTAAAAACTACGTACATATACTGTAATATACATTACACTCTAAAAAGTGCCCTAATAAAGTCAATTTTTTTACTTTAAAGTATATTTTAATATATAATTTTTATATTTTACTCATCTTTTGTCAAAATTTAAAGATGTGCACTTATTAGTACATTCACTTATCAAGTGTGTTATTCAATATTACAACTTTTGTAATTACAGATGCGTCTGAAGATGTCCTTACGTAATACTTAAAGGGTTAGTTCACCCAAAAATGAAAAATCTGTCATTAATTACATAGCTTCATAAAATTACGGTTGAACCACTGATGTCACATGGACTATTTTAACAATGTCCTTACTACGTTTCTGTGCCTTGATCATGGTAGGACCCTTGCTGTCTATGGAGGGCAGAGAGCTTTCGGTTTTCATCAAAAATATCTTAATTTGTGTTCTGAAGATGAACAAAGGTCTTACGGGTTTGGAATGACATGAGGGTGAGTAATTAATGACAGAATTTTCATTTTTGGGTGAACTATACCTTTAATTGTGTCAAAATAGCACTCTAAAGTTCAGCTAAATGCATTTAATATACAGTTACACTATAATGTATAGTTATTATACATTATAGTGTAATCTATAGTTTGGACTTGAGTATATTCTTTTAAAGTATATTAAGTCCATAATAAGTACTCTTTTTAAAAGAATGCCGAAGCTTACTTTTTTCATACATATACCCAGTGTATTACAGCTTCCGTTTCTCTGTGTAATTGAGCTTTGAATAAGAGATTGAGAAATGTTTCCATTGCTTCTAGTAAAGTGAATTTGTAATTTTGATTTCTCTCATGCTTTGATCAAGTCAATACATAAGAGACACCAGACACTAGATTACGTTTGCCCAGAGGACTGACTCCTCTTTTTACACACCTCATTTCAGTCCAGACACACACTTGGCTGAGGACCAAACCTCTGGGCTAACTTCTGTCTACAGTTAACGGCTGTACATAACCTGTGGGACCAGAGCCCCACTCCAGGCGTGAGACTGTGAGATGATAAACTCCCAGATGCTCTCCACAAAATTTCTCTCTTTCCCCCCTCCGGCTTACCCTGCCTTATCTCACTGTTCCTCTTCTTCAGCCTCTCTGTACTTTCATAGGTTTTTCTTTTTTCTGTCCCTATTTGACCACACATGCCTCGATTTCGTTTGCATTCCTCTGAGTTTTTCATTTGCAGTCGTAGTGTGCTTTTCTGGCATGCCAAAAACTACATTCGTATTGCCACTGGCTCTTGGGCTTTTAAAATATCACTTTTTTTAAATTTTGTACAGTATGAGAATCCTTACAGGTAATGTTTTCCCAGCAACCACCAAATCCAGACTCGGCCATCTGATTACCAAACAGAGAAGCTTGATTTGTCACTCTACAGCAGTGCTTTAGAGTCCGGATCCAGCAGACTTGTGAATGAATGAGTACAAAACAGCTTTTTCAAAAACCCATCACTGCTGACTGTCTGAGCACATGAACATGAATGTGGTTCGTCTGTAAATATGCACATAGTTTGTTACACAGACGGACATTTGTGCTGCATGATATATAAAATAAAGTAATATAATTCACTGCTGTATAACAGCGTATTGCAGTTATCAATTCAGTTGAAGTGACTGCAGGTTACTATTTCAGTAACATCAAATATGTAAATGAGAACTGCTTTATTGGGCATTTAATTGTATAAAAATGCAGTACTGTTACAGTTCAGAGAGTAAATACAAGTATAACCTGATGACGTCATGAATATGATCATTAAGCATATATAAAGTTGAATAGTTATATAAAGTTATAAGCTTGTTTATTAAAAATAAGTTTTGTAATAATAATTATTTCAGACCTTTTGATGTTGATGATCATTTAGATTCAGACCTTTGAATATCAACTTTGAGAACCCCTGCTCAACAGAACAGGTTTCCACTGCTCCAGAGTCCAGTGGCGGCATGCTTTACACTACTCTGAAGTTTGGCACTGTACTTGCTGATGTGAGGCTTGCATAATTATCTATCTATCCATCCATCCATCCATCATAAATTACATTTTAAACCAGTCTTTTAATCTTTTGTTGTGCTTTAAAGATTTAAAGACATTCTTCAGTACACATTGACCATATTTAAAGGGGTCATGAACTGAAAAATCTAAATTCCCTTGATCTTTTTACATGTAAGAGGTCATTGTGCTATAAAAACATTCTGTTAGTTCAATACCTCTAAACTTAAAAACTTAAAAACAGCTTATATTGAAGCCAATCCACCTAAACTACAGGTTGTGGAATGTGCCACTTTATGACGTAATAGTTTGACTAAACACCGTCTCTGCAGAAGAAGATCAACGCCTGCTTCTACATCACTGCCTGTTTAGCCCCGCCCACCGATTCACTAATGTAGTGTAAATAATGAGAGAGGCAAACGCAGGTCTATGCAGAAACCAAACGATAAACTTTATTTGATAACCTTTATTTTTAATGAAGTTCCAAACCACATCAGTAATAACTTGGTCCTTTTTCACACACCACACAAATATGAGTAACTGTATTATTAAGGGGTCACTATGCTATGTCTGTTATTACAGATCGTTTAATGTATACTGAGTATTTAATTTTTTGTATTTTTGTATTTTTTTACTTATGATTAGTTCTTCCAGTGTTTAATAATAACATCTGGCTTTCTTTCCCCTGATTATCCACTGATTGGGTGAACCATGTTTCTCAGTATTCAATAGGAATTTATCACTATTATTATCTACAAGTGCGTCAGTTAATGTACACTACTGGTCAAAAATTTGAAATAATATACCATAGTCAAATTTCAATTCTGACAGGAATGAAAACGAAGCTGTGAAGGACATGTACAGTGTATTTTGAAAACTATCAAGGGCCTTTATATAGCACATGCCATTATAAAGAATATGTCTCACAGTGCTGCTGCCTAGTGAAAAATAAATATATTAAAAAGTATTTGAAATACATTAATTTCAAGCCAAGTATACTATATTAAACATAAATACTATATATTTATGTGCTTAATAAAAGTACCCTGCGATTGTACTTTTGAACTAAACTATTGTAATTGTAAACTAAACTGGTATACTTAAATATTTTATTTTTATTTATTTTTTTTTTACTTATGATTAGTTCTTCCAGTGTTTAATAATAACATCTGGCTTTCTTTCCCCTGATTATCCACTGATTGGGTGAACCATGTTTCTCAGTATTCAATAGGATTTTATCACTATTATTATCTACAGGTGCGTCAGTTAATGTACACTACTGGTCAAAAATGTGAAATAATATACCAGTCAAATTTCAATTCTGACAGGAATGAAAACGAAGCTGTGAAGGACAGAAGTACAGTGTGTTCAATGAACTGTACTGTTGTTTAACATTGTACCGACTGTTTAGCAGAAGAAGAAAAAAATCAGTAGACAATAACTGTGAATTTTGAAAACTATCAAGGGCCTTTATATAGCACATGCCATTATAAAGAATATGTCTCACAGTGCTACTGCCTAGTGAAAAATAAATATATTAAAATGTATTTGAAATACATTAATTTCAAACCAAGTATACTACATTAAACATAAATACTATATATTTATTACATAAATACATTATATTTATGTGCTTAATAAAAGTACCCTGCAATTGTACTTTTGAACTAAACTATTGTAATTGTAAACTAAACTGGTATACTTAAAGTCTGCTAAATTGTAACAACTAATTTTGTACTTAATGCACTTTAATTGTGCAGAAGCAGTGCTGAACTCCAACTAAAGATATACATAAGTATATTTGATTGCGTTAAAGTGGAACTATTGCAAGTATACGTTAGGTACACTTTAAATATCTTGCATTTAAAGACCGATATTATTCAAAGATCATACGGTCCCCATTAATACTTACATTAAAACACATTTTAGGCTTAATATTAAGAAACGTGCATTGTACACAAGTAGTACTCCAGATAAAGTTTAATTATAATTTTTATATCAGTAAGTTTCGAGAGATATGTCAGTAATTATGTCAATAGATTTGAACTATACGTGACCCTGGACCACAAAACCAGTCATAAGGGTCAATTTTTTTTTCAATTGAGGTTTATACATCATCATCAAGCTGAATAAATAAGCTTTCTATTGATGTATGGTTTGTTAGGATAGGACATTATTTAGCCGAGATACAACTAAAACGTTTTGAAAATCTGGAATCTGAGGGTGCAAAAAAAATCGAAATACTGAGAAAATCGCCTTTAAAGTTGTCCAAATGAAGTTCTTAGCAATGCATATTACTAATCAAAAATTACGTTTTTATATATTCACGGTAAGAAATTTACAAAATATCTTCATGGAACATGATCTTTACTTAATATCGTAATGATTTTTGGCATAAAAGAAAAATCGATAATTTTGACCCATACAATGTTATTGTGGCTATTGCTACAAATATACCCCAGCGACTTAAGACTGGTTTTGTGGTCCAGGGTCACATATTTAGTATGGAATGAATGTATTTTAAATATATTACTTTTTTACTAGAGTGAAAATCATGCACATTTTTGATATTTTTGCATCTTCTGCTCACTAAGAGTCCATCTATTTGATTAAATATTGATATTTAATCAATATTAAAAACAATGATACTGTGAAATCACTACAGATCAGAAGAACTATTTTCTTTTTAAATATATTTTAAAATACACGGTAATGAGTTCTGTGATGGCAAAGCTGAATTTTCGGCAGCCAATACTCCATTTTTTTTTCATCAAATATATGCAGCCTTGTTGAGCATAAGAGGCTTCTTTCAAAAACATCAAAAATTGAAATTATTTTGACTGCTAGTCTATTTTTTTTTTCTTGGTGTAATGAGATGACAAGAAACATTGTGTATGTGTATACATGTGTAATTCAATTCCACTCAATCTCTACAAAGACTTTCTTAAGCATGGAATGATTCTGGATGATCTCTCGGCAAGGATTTCACACTGATTAAAGAACCCGCTCTCTTTCCTCTTCATGTCAATTATGTGTAGTCTGCCAGCCCTCTTAGGCATGGTTGAATGGTGAAATGTTTTTCTGTCTTAAACTGTGCTTTTATGCACATTTCTCAGCCTTCAGAAGTAAGTGCAATCATTGTGTACAGAATCAGCGACTGGCTGAAGAGGAAAGAGTTGTAACAGAGAGGCTGACAGCTGCTTCGGCCAATGGAAGTCAATATTCTGTGTGGTTTGAAAAGAGATGTGTTAAAAGGTTGGACTGAAAGGTGGCTTTGCAATCGAGGATATTAATATGCATGGCGCATCACCATGACAGCAGCAGTAGGGGTTTCTGTTTTACGTCTGGATGGAGACCACAAAAGGATTTTCTTGTCTGAAAGGAAGCAGCGCACATGTGGAAGTGCTCTGGCTAACATCATGAACACACGTGGCTGAAGGTCAGCTAGTGCGGACAACACATTTCTTTGTAGGCCAACGATGTTGGAGGCACAGCTAAGTTAATGACTCTGCTTGCTTACAAAAGAATCATGCAACCCATCACGTGAGTGAGGTTAAGTGAGGTTTTGTACAGGAATAACATCTAGTAGACATTGATGAAACTATTGTTAATTTTAACAAGCTCTTAATTAAATAAGAAGCTGCAAGTTCTTGTAGGAGGAAATGACTTGTGATTATAAAGTGCAGAAACTCTTCGTAAAATGTAAAACAACATTCACAATTAGTTAGCATCCATAATGCGATCCGGCTCCAAGAAAACAGTATATTTAGTTACTAATATTTATAGTTAATAATTTGTTAACATTAATATGCAGCAGGATATAAACGGTTTTTTAAAGCAGTGGTTCTCAACCTTCCTGTTTCAAAGGCATCGTTTTCAAACTTTTTTTAACGAACAGAAACTGGGATTGTTAATATTTAATGAATGCATCGTTTCTATAATATTGTATATTATAATATTTAAGATTGATTCTGAATGATTTTCAATGAAAATGGTTATTGAGGGCAAAAATAAATGTTATTTCAGTTTACATGTTGATTTACATTTGTGATTTAGCATTTTAATTAAGTAAATTGAACTCATCTTGTGACCCCCTTGGAAGGTTTCTGGGCCCCTCTGGTTGAAAACCAATTTTAGAGGCACAGAAAGTTATTACACTTTAATGAATTACCATAAAACACTTTTTTTGTATAATAATCAAGACCAGGGGTTTGTTAAGGCAGTAAATTAGGACAATTTTGATTTCTTGCCAGTTTTAACATTCTTTAAACATTATATTTTGCATACTCATACTCATTGCATATTCTTGCTAATAAATTATTTTTTAGAAACAGTGCAAATATTTAGACCAGAGTGGGCAGTATGATTATTAGTTATTTTATAATAATTATTTTATAATATTTACTATATATACTATTGTGTGATTATGTGAAAATTAATTTTATTTAATTTATCTGTCAAATTGCAATTTTGACATACTGTATATGATAATATTTACAGTTGGTTACAATGAATTTGAATTTATTCATATAAAAAAAATGGAGGGTGGAACTTTTAACTATCAGGAAATGACTGAACTGTATAAAGTTAAGGCCTTTCCACACTGAACGCGAAAAAGCGAAACGAATATCGGATGCGATGACGCGCTGGAATAAAACAATAGATTTCTATGGATACTTCCACATAGACCAAGAACATTCGCACACCGAAATTGCGAATGTTTTTTTTTTTCGAACCAGTCGACGAATCTTTTCAGTTCCACAAAGCGAAATCACGGGATGTCCAATAAGATTTGAGCTTGGATCACGTGACCGGAGCAGCTGCTGTTGCACAAAAAGGCAAGAATGGTAGCGCTGTTTCAGAAACCAGTGTAAACAAACACAGAAGAAGAGTATCCTGGATAAGAGAGTGGATGCTGAGTTCTAGTTATTGTTGGTATTTGAGAAGAGATTTATTCTCACATGTTCTTTATACAGAATAAAATTTCTATTAATTGTCCACTGAATTATGTGATCTGTAGAGCACCGTCCATTTTCTTCCATGTGCGCGAGTGTTATGAGTCAGAGTGTGTTCACTCTTTTTCTACACATGAAATATGAAAGCAAATAGACATGATTATGACGATATATTTTCTGTGTTTTGTATGCAGCTCATGGTATTTTTATAGCAATAAAGGATGTTTATGACAAATATTAGCAGTGTAGCGTTATTAAACATGCAAAGAGTGCATGTGTCTGCTTATTAATCAAAATCAACTATAGATCACAATTGGAAGTTATTACAAACACTCGATGATGGTTTAAAGTGGGTAAGCAAATACATTTTCAAGTGTAGCTTGATGCTAATTGTACTTCTGATTATATTTTAGGATGTAGCCTATTGTTGTAAGCATTATAGATAGTTTGTTTCTGGTGTAGAACCTTGTTTATCTTAATTTATTGCTGTATATTGAGCAACGGATGTTTCTCGTTCGGTGTGGAAGCAACGTTCGTCGGCGATTCACCTCGCTTTTTCGCATCGCCCTCAGTGTGGAAAGGCCCTAAATAAGTAATATTTACACAACCTTGGTAATGTCATTGGAAAAAAAAATATTTCGGAACTGGAGAATGTTGAGATGAAATATTCAGAAAACAAGCACCTGTTTCTTTCGAATAATGCAGAGAGATAAATCATGCCTCGTTCCCAATAAAACCAGGGAAATTTATTCAGAAAGTCAACAGGGTCAATTTTGATTTCATGTTATTTGTAAAACGCTGTAATCACAGTTTTTCATTATGAACTGCAACTTACCAAAAGCTTGTTTTGGCGTACTCACCTCTAACCAGCAGCTCAGCTTCTGCAAGCACACTGTCTGCACTCGTCTGAGCGCGACAGCCATATTTCCCAGCATGCTTCAGGAGGATGCTCCTGATCATCAGGTCTGCTGTGGAGGACTGCTAAATGGAGGGAAAAGAGAGGAAGCACAAAGAAAAACAGAGAAGTGAGGGCAAGAGAGAAATAGAGCTCCGTGCGGTGCTTGACACCTGAGCAATCACTGCTAGCTGCTACAGCCTCTATTGGCTTGTGTGGATTTAGAGATTCCTGTTCAGTTTAAGAGCACGCGCACCATTACTTTCCTCAATCTGCTCTTCTCTGGAAATGCGAAACGCCTCAGGCGAGACTGCAAATAATTCATGGTCTAGAGGCAGTTCTTTAGTACAGGGGCTGATTAAAATTACAGCACATGAATCAGACAACTGGGTGCTGCACCACTGTCTGCCATGCACTGTCTCAACAAATATGTGCTTCCTGTGAAGAATATTCTGCTTTAAATAAAAAAATAAAGTAAGAAAGAAAGAAAGAAAGAAAGAAAGAAAGAAAGAAAGAAAGGTAACACTTTACTTGAAGGGGTGTACATAAGACTGAAGGAGGTTTTATGCATGTTTATGACAACTGTCATTAAGTGTCATTCGCTCAGTTATGTAATTTTTAATGCAAAGATGACATTGTTTGAGATGTCTTTGTTATGGGCTATGGTTAGGGGTAAGGGTAGGGGTAGGGTTAGGTTACGGTTAGGTCAAATAATGTCATATTTGCATTAGAAATTACATAACTGAGCGAATGACACTTAATGACAGTTGTCATAAACATGCATAAAACCTCCTTCATATTCATGACATGTGTCATGTCATGATTATGAAGGTGTCATGTCAGTCTTATGCACACCCCTTCAAGTAAAGTGTAACCGAAAGAAAATTATATTTGGAAAACCGAAGGAAAAATACTATTTTATTAATTAATTTATTTTATTGTGATAATTAAACACATTTCCCCTCATTTATATTTAGTCACTGTTTTGCAGTTTTTTTTTACATTTGAAAAACTAAAACTAGAGTAGTTAAGCGTTATATATATGAATGAATGAATGAATATGGGGTAATTGCAAAATGAAAAGCTTCTTCTTTTTCTATTACAAAACAAAAGTTAATCAGTACTTCTCAGTATAACAGTTTATAAAATGTCTAAAAGTTCGTTCAAAAAAAAAGAAAAAAAATTTGTGCCACTAAGTTCTTTATGCAATAATCGGACAAATCCACCAACTCTCTCTTTTTAACTTCTCCATGGAAAAAAAAAAAAAAACTATTAATATTTTAGTAAATTATGCCTACTCTGAGAGTATTTGCTGAGCAGACATTTTCTGGGGTTCATGAGAACATCCTATGGTACAAGTGACTCATAAAGTATTCATTAGCACTGAAAAACTAACAACTACATGAGAACAACATGTAGAAATAAATAATTCATTTTACATGGCTAATGGAAACATGCACCTCGAGGGTGGAATGAACACTAGTCAAGTCCCTAATTTATGAGCATCTGACTAACTTTTCACTTACCAACTTATTAATATAAAATACTATCTGTATTTTTTTTTAGAAACATTTTGTCACTTCTTAAAGCAGTATGGGTTGTGTGTAATTGCATGTTGATGTGGATGAAAGCATTGGCTAATTTATGTCAAAAAGGAACAATAAACAGAAGCTTTAATCAGCTCATTTTACATGAATTACTCTCAAAACAACCCAAAACCCAGTTAGCTGCTGTGCCAATTAGCAATTAAACCCATTGTGGGCTAATCGAATATAACATCTCCTAAACCCTGGCTAACACTGCACGTGAATGTGTAACAGTGACAGTTAGTTGGCAGTTAGATTGGTGCTCAGTGCTGCTGTGAACGAACCAAATGATGTTGTCAGCCGGAGGGAAGACTTCAATATGAGTATAATCTGATAGTAAGAGGACACAAGACGGTTTGAACTTAATTGTGTCAGTCGTAGCTGGTGCTGAGGAGTGATCCATCCCTATTAGGAGTTACATGAATGCATGCATGAGATGAGGCGACTTCATGTCGGAGTAGTGAACAAGTAGTTTATGTTATTGTCAAAGCCAGCCAATCAAATTGGAGCTTGCCAGTTTAAGAAATATATTTTGTGTGTGTACGAAATGCAAACAGCCTGGGACTAACATTGTGCTGAAGGCTCTCAAGGAATGGGCCATCATGATTGACTAGTTGTCCAGTACTCGACTAGTCTATTAGTGAGTTAGACAACCCACTGATCGTTGATTGAAAATGTGTAGTTTGCTCATGCAGGAAGACTTATAAAGTGACAATTTTTTTAGCACTATTTTCCATACGAGAAATAATATATACAATACCGCTCAAATGTTTGGAATAATTAAAAACATTTAATTTCAAATGCAATATATTTCACAATATTACTGTTCAAATGCAGCCTTGTGAAATCACGTCAGTGCATGGTTTTGTGGCGGCAGAATGCCTGCTGATGCGTTCTAATCAGGGAGTGTTGTCAATCCTGCAGGAAGGGTGGAGGGTGTGTGGAGCTGCTGCTCCTCTGAGACTCTGATAAACATGATGGTGTGATTCACAGCAGGTCTTTCATCATGATGACATACGGTCCTGGCTGACCTTTCACTGGATTGATTCTCACTCCAGTTAAAGCAGGATTTGGTGCAATGTGGCATCCCTAAAATAAGTAACTGTGACTCCATCTGTTCAGGAGCAACAGACTGAAGATATCTGTTTTCAAAAAACCATAAAAGCAGTAAAATACTTAAAAAGTACTTTTGGGGAAAAAGAAAGAAAAAATGCTATCATTAAAATATCATTAAAATCTTTAACTTTGTTTTGTTTGTGTGTCTGCTTTTTTGTCGTACAAAACATGAGTGTAGAGACATTAACACTTTTTTTTGGGGGGGAGGGGTGGTATTAGGGTTGTGCCGATAGACGATAGTATTGTGTATCGATGATAGTCAGAGATATCGCCTGTGGCTGATGCCTTTGACGATAGCAAGACAATTATTATTATTATTATTATAATCAGGCTACTAATACTCTCTAATTAATATTAGGACTTATTTGTTGCAGTGTATTTCTTTTTCCGCGTTTTACAGTATTGCGCTTTATAACCAATCACACACAATTATGCTGAGCTTATGAATGCATTGGTCAATCAGCGGCGCTCAGATGACTCACCGCTGAACCAGCGGAGTTCCGTTGTTCAGCGTGCGCTGACTGATTTCTGACTTGCAAATTCTCTCATCATAAACAACAAAGTGCAGAAGTACGTGCGATGTAAGTATAAGAGATTTATTTATCATACAGTGTAGATTCACTGATTTTAAAGTGCCCCTATTATGCCATTTTTAAGGTTGCTAATATTGTTTTATGAGTCTCCTAAAACAAGTTTACATGCATGCAAGGTCAAAAAACATTAGTTTTCTCAAAAAATGTATTTAATTTTACCTTATTTCTAAACGATTCGTAAACGACTTGTGCGAAGCAGTTCAAAGAATCAATCTCTCTAAACCCCTCCTTTCCGTGTGCCCTCACTGCTGTGATTGGTCCAGAGCCGTAGAGAGATTGGCTCTGGATTGGTCAACCACGTACAGCGCGTGTCGGAAACGAAACGCCCATTGCCATGACGGAATGACAGCCCTGGAGACTTGTCAATACATAGAAAAGATGGTATCGATTGTACCTTACCAATTCGAGCCGGAGTCTGATGATGAAACGGTTGAACTGGCTCATCGACACGAGACTGATTCGCAAGCACGACTGGAGAAGGACGTTTCTTCAGGAAGTGCCAAGTGTTAACAAGTTTGCGGTAATTATAAGATGTGATAAAACAAATTTACTCTCACAGTGTAGGATACAGCGTCTTCTCGACATGATGTTAACCACACAGAAATTGTACTGTTTGTGGGCGGGCAAGTTGGCGACGTAACTTAGAACGTGGGCAGACATTATGCAAATGTATTACTTTGTGACGTAAATGTGTTACTTCGTAAGTTAACAGAATAACATTCAAATTCCTGACGACTCGTTTAGGCGATTGCGAGCCGACTCTTTTTTGTTTATAGACAATAACTTTATTTATCGTGCACTGTCGTCTTCACAACTTTGCAGATAGTTTATGTTCCCATACAGCTACATGACACACTGCATGAAAGGTAATATTCGAGAAGGCAAAATAGGGGCACTTCAATGGGAGTGTTTTTAAAGTGCATTTACTCGCGCTAGACTGAGCTTGTGATGATGTTCTTTGGTAATGTAATGTTCTTTGCTCGTTTTCTGTAGCTGCTTTTTGAATAACTGAGGAAATGTAAGCATTATAATTAGTAATTTACGATGTTTCTAAGTCGTGGCCTATGGGTTAGAGAGTCGGACTCGTGTCACAATGACCAAATCAAGTTGATGCAAATAGTTTATAAAATGTTTATACTGAGTGATACTGATAGGAAACTTATGCAAATTATGTAAAAATAGTTTAATGTTTCAGTTGAAAAAAAAACCACTCTAAAATTACCTACTGTACATCCAATGTCATCCAAATGAAGCATGTGCCAATAACTGATGAAATGCTAATACTGACAGTTACTATATAAAAAAAAGTTTTAGCAAAATTACAAAAAATGCACCTATACTGCTCTATACCCATACATACAATTCACTGCAGTTTATAGGTAAAATTATCACTAGTGGCCACAAATTATGATCGTGGGGTAGATTAACAAAGGTTTATTTTTGCATGGTTCCTCAAACAATACTATGTTCTCACTTTTAGTATAGTGCATTTATGAACCAGTACATTTTGAGGGTTTTTCTGATGTAGTAAACTTGCTTGGTAGCTCATCTGGTATAGCATTGCACTTATCCAGTGAAAGTCCAGTGAAACAAACATTATGATAAAAGAAGCAAATATCAGTGAAATATAAGTGATTTATTGAAAAAAAGGAGAAAACATACTGTTTGAATGTAAAAAAAAAAAGAAGCTATTTTTAATATCTGCCAAGTCAGGTCGATGCCAATAATTTACAAAAGACTAATACTGACTGATATCGATATACTACTGATACATAATTTATCACTGATATATTGCATATTCTTTAAAAATTGCATAGTGCAAGTGACATTAATATCCATAAAACACCAAATAATACCAACCATATGACCACCAAACAGACGCACAGTTCATTACCTACAGTATATGTCACCTACAGCATCAGCACAAGTACACAGAAGCACATCTGTGGTGAAGCCACTTACTGTTTGAATGTACTCAAAGTGACCGCCCTCCTGCTGGGTGTTGAGCGGTTGGTTGTTGAGCAGCCAGAGGAAGGACACGTCCAGTGAGGGGTCATGAGTGACTTTACAGCTGAGCACCACACTCTCTCCCACCGTCACCTCCACCCGGATGGGGCTCAACTCCACCCGCATGGGCTCTGAAACATGAATATCATTCCGTCATCAGCACACAAGGACCATATGACATCTGCAGCTATGTCAGAAACTCTGGATACAGTTACTATTTGGAAAACAAATGCATTATTAAACTACAGTAAAATTCATAATTGTCAATTTGTAATTTTGAGGGGAAAAAAGGGAAAATGGTTTCTAACATCAAGTTTATCCTCTAGTATATCAGACCTTGACAAACTATGCAAAAATATGCAACAGCTTATATAAATTGCTGCATTAAATTGTATCATATTATTTATTAATACAATATGATTTTATTGTTTTATTTGCAGCTTGTGTTTTATGAATGGCATCTGATGTCCATATGCAGTGTAATTTCCAATGAACATTTGTATTATTTTGTTTAGCTAACATTAGCAAAGATTTATAAATACTATAGCAAATGCATTTCTCATTATTAGTAAATGTTAGTTAATGCATTAACTAACAATAACTAATGTGACCTTATTGGAGGGAATAAAAAAGAAAATAAAAAGTTTCTCTGCCTCTGAAGTTTTAATTTCTACTGATGCAACTAAGGGCAATATTCATCAATAATTGAATAATTCAATAATTGAATCACCTAACATCCAAAATCCAATCCAATTCTACATTTTCACTCGGAAATATTTGACATTACATGAGATTGTTGCATTTAGCTGTGCAGTACATGCTATTTTTTAAATGATATATAAAACACGCATTATACCTCACTAGTATGTTACATTCCTGTCACATTACCTCATTATGGTATTTTAATGTTAACTGACAAACAATTATCATAAAAAACAGTTATGGTTAATTTGCATTTCTAATTCATATTTGTAACAAAAAATGTCTAAAAATTTAGTTTTCAGACCTAATAATGGGTCTAGAGAGATAATAAAAGTTAAATTTTGCTCACACAAATCTGCTGTTCAAACAAACAAAAGCTGCTTGGTTTGAAAGTGACTTTTGATTATAGACACTACTGACCATGGACCTTTTTATCCTTCAAAATTTTGCAGAGATTTCACTAATGTGACCATACATTATAACTTTGACAGTTTTCTGGCATTAAAATGCATTTTCGTCAATAGAATGACAAAATAATGACATTAAATATAGATGAAAATAGGGTATAAAACATTTTGAGCTTGTCCGCTTTCGACTGCTTTCAGAGTAGAAAACTAATTTGACTGGATAACATTTGTAGTGTAAAGGCTCAAATGGTTGAATGTGTTCAAATAGCCTCAAAAGGCCACCTACTCTCTGCCCACTGACCTAATATGTGAGCATTACGGGACGTGTTTTTTTGAGAAAGCGCACAAAAACAATCAATTCCAACATTGATATATTGTGCCAAAATGCATCTTAATACAAGATGCAAACAGTGCCTCAGACTCACGTACAGTACAATGTGTTATGAAATAGTAATTTTGCACGTGACATGTATTTTGTATCTCAAGAGTTCCTTTCAACAAATACTCACATACGCTAACAGTGATAAAGTTAAGACAATCTGTCCCATGCCTCCTAGTTATTATCTGTTTTCTTGGTAAAGAACAACCTCCTCAACAATAGCTGTCCTAGGAGACAGTAGATGCTCTTGTGAGCAGATTCTTGAGCGGGCAAAACAAACATCTTCACGCCTGATAAGCCGCAATGAACTCTTCTCCCATCTGGCTCAGTCAGGCGGCGCTCTGTTTGCTCTAGTGTGGTTAACCACGGGATGGGACCGACGGGATGGGGGCTGGAGGTTGATGAGGGTCTCTTACCTTTCACCAGAAGCACGGTCGTCAACTCCGCTGAACCGAACTGGTTTTCCGCACGGCACACGTAGCTTCCCTCATCTGAGCGGCTGGAGTTAATGATGCGGAGGGTGTTATTCCGAAGCAACATGATCCTGTTAAAAATGGAGGATGTAATTCATCTGCCACAGTAAACATTTCTCAACTTCTTCAGAAGGTTAAGTAAACAAATTAGCCCAAAATAAAAATAACGAATGCAAAAACTAATCAGCATGTGCCTGTAATAAGAAAATATAACATTTATGTCTAAATAACTAATGAAATATACCGAAGGTGCCACATTATTACCACTTTTTAACACCTTGGTAGTAAATACGGTAACCTTTCAGTACCATGTTGTACAATATATTAATAGAAAAAAAAATTAAGAAAAATATTATTTGATTAAAAAGTTTAAAAGTGTGCACCAGTCAAGAAGTAAAAAAATCCTTTTTGGGTCGCACTTTATATTAGGTGGCCTTTACTATTTCAATTAATCATTTGATACAATTAACTTATTGTCTACATATATGTTTTTACATTGTACTTGTATTTAAATAATACCTGCATTTATAATCACACTGTTTTCACTTGACTTACACCTTTACCCACCCTTAAACCTAACCATATCACCAAACCTGTCGCTAACCTTTCCCATATCCCACCTCAATAGCAGCAAAAGTGTTTTGCAATACAATATGAACACAATAAGTACATTGTAGTTATTTTTTGATGTAAGTACATAGTAGTTAAAGCCACGCAATATAAAGTGGGACCCCTTTTTGTCTTGCAGTGTTCTGAAGTTCTGAGTAATTGTAAATATGTCATAAGCACAAACACAACATGAAAATAGTTTTGTATATTTTTTAAACGAATATTTAAAAGATTCAGGTTTTTGAAAAGCATACAAAATGTCAGTACTACTGTAGACCTCGGAATGAACAGAATCATCGTCCTACTTGCACTGTCTGAACAAGTCTTGTCCTTCATTGTTATTTTAACATCTAGATTTAAAGATAACATTGTCAATAGAGTCATTTAAAATGTTAATTGACTGATAGTATCTTTTGGTGAGGATTAGTACATTGATGGCTATCAAAAGACACTAGCCAATTAACTGTTCAAAGCAATGAAAGGGCTGTTAATTATAAAAGTCAGAAGATGTAAGAGTATGGGTAATATCCATTTATATAATTTAGCTTATGCTTAAGTTAAAAGCGGGTCTTAAAGTGAAATAGCTGGTGTTGGTAAGGACATAATGCTCTGATGATTAATATGCTCACCCAAGTATACGGCACGTCAAATGGCCTTAATCGGAATACTGTTAATTTGAGTGGAAGTCAAGATGAGATATACTCCTAATGACATTTTATTCTTTCTGAAACCAAGAGAGAGCAGGAAGGCAAATTGAATTTAACAGAGATAACTAGAGTCTCGCTTTTATCTTATCGTTCGCCTTCATTCACTGTTCAGAGAGCAGTTTCAGAGAGCACCTCTGTGCTGCCCTCATATAATGAATTAACTTCAGACAAAGACAGAAGTAATTTCTTGTCTGAGGTCCAGGAAAACAATGGAGAGATAAAAAAAAAAAAGACTGTGTGTCGCTCTAAAGAGACCTCCTGAGAACTCGAGCATATGAGCAACAAGCTCTCGGTTTTATTATAGCTCTTAAAAAGCCATCGCTTGAAGTGTCACAAAGTGAATGCACTAAAATGTTGTTATCTCAAACTCAGACCTCTTTAAGTAGATGAAAAATTCTCTGCATTCACACTGCATATGTAGACTCACATCTTATTTTTGGTCCAGTTTAGTCAAGATTGGGTCTCAGATCACTTTCAATTCTCAATTGGGGCATTCAAATAGGATAGTTGCTTACCAACTTAAAATAACTTTGTACACCATTTCAGATCTAATTATACAATTTGTACTTCCTTTTTCTTTCATTCAATGCTGGAAACATTCAAACATCTTAAGGCCGGGACACACCAAGACGACGGTCGGCCGTTGGCCAACGGCGAGTGATGGTCGGTCTAGTTTGTTTGGTGTGTTCTACTCGTCGGGCTCACGTTGGCGGCAGTTTGCCCGATTCAACATGTTGAATCGGCGTCAGGCCATCGGGACCATCGGCGCGAGTGAGAGCTCTGATTGGATGTTCAGTTTAGCGAACGAGAATTAAAGCGAAAGTGATGAAAACAAGCACGTAAACGAAGGCGGTACAGACAGAAGGCTGTTTAAATGTTACGTGATCTTTCCAAATCATTCTAATACGCGAATGTTTTCATAACAACATGAGCCGCTTAAAATTATTAAAGTTATTCAAAATGGTAAGCAATCGCTGCTTTGTTTATGTTTCGTATATATATGCGTTTATCTCGTATATCTTAGTTTTCGGTTTCTCCTTTTGAATGACGAATATATACTATTGATAGCTGCTGATATAGACAGTTAATTCCTCTCACGCATGCGCAGAACGCATGTTTTAGTTTGCCGCCGGCTGTAGTCTGTGCGGTGTGTTCGAGTGCAGCTTTTTGTCGCTGCTTTGTTTACGTTTCGTATATATATGCGTTTATCTCGTATATCTTAGTTTTCGGTTTCTCCTTTTGAATGACGAATATATACTATTGATAGCTGCTGATATAGACAGTTAATTCCTCTCACGCATGCGCAGAACGCATGTTTTAGTTTGCCGCCGGCTGTAGTCTGTGCGGTGTGTTCGAGTGCAGCTTTTTGGGTCGACGCTGCCGATGTGAGGCGACAACACCGTCGGCTTTCGTCGCTGCTAGTTCTTTGAAGTCAGCTTGGTGTGTCCCGGCCTTTAAGCCATGCATTTCGCAAACTGCTCCTAGACAGCTGGAAAAACCAACCAACACACACACACACACACACACACATTCATATACATAAACAGACACCAAAAACCAACAAAATGACTAAAACTTTAACAAATATTGAAATGATGGAAAATATAATAATAAAAAATAATTCAAAGCAAAAAAAAAAAATAGCATACCAATTCAGACGTGGATGTATATTCCAGTATTGTGTCCCCTGCTTTGATTAGCAGAGGTGTGACAATTAATATTTACATAGCAATCATTTTATTAAAATTAAATTTCTGCCTAAAACTAACAGTCTTGACGGAAGGGAGCCGTCAGTCTAATTTATTCCCCATGAATTTGTCTCGTAATGTTTGTCTTTCATATTTACAGTATTAAGTACCCTGATCCAGCAGACGCTGATGAGAATTGGCAGGCAGAAACTCACAGAGGCGTGACAAAGTGTAACCTGTACATGGAAAATTCATAAGGATAAATCAACTAAGAGACGTTCCTTCAAGTAGGAGAAAGCAAGAACCCACATTCGACAAGGACGCGGAGCCAGAAAGGACAAGCGGCATAGACCGGTGGGTATAAGCAGTATGCAAATGAGCCTTCGTGACGAAGGTAGTAAAAATGAAACATCCCCTTAGAGCCACCTAAAATATATTTTAGGCCACTTGATGCAAAGAACTTGCACTACTCCGGAGAAACATCTTCGAAAAACGCAGCGAGTGCGAAACATTCACACGCTGTACAGGAGCGGCTGAATAAACACAACAGAACATAATCACAGGCTTGTTTACAATGAACCGATTTTCCATTTCCCTGACTAGGGCTTCTTTGGCGATGTTAGTGAAGGATTGACCGCAGGGTTTTGAGAGTGGCTGCCTATACTTTCGAACTAAAGGGATTAATACTTTTCATTTGGAATACAAAACCCTTGAACATTAGCGGAAATCCATGTTAATTACGAACCTTCATTAACTCCACACAGCTGTCAATGTCAGATAAACGCAGGGCAGCTTCGATCCCACCCCTGTGCTCCTTTCACGATTGAGATTCTCTTCATTTTAGAGACGTCTTCCTTGGATACAGCTAATGTCAGAAAATCCTTTCACTAAAGTCACCCGTGTCCAGGCAAATACGTCTGTAAAATTCATTTCAACGATCATCTGACTGAAAATCCATTTTAACTGCTCAGTTGAAGTGGGAAAAGAGCGGCTCCTTTATCATTCGACAATGTAGTGTGCCGTTAGAGTAATCGAAACAAGTGATGTGATTCTCTCTTGGATCTTCTACGTTAAACTGTAGCTCATGCACCATTTCATTACATATCTTTTCATAGCATTGGTAGCGCTGATCTGATTATTTTAAATCTGATTACTTTGGAGCTTCCTAAGGCGTGCATCACTACTGTTTATTCTTAAGTTTTGGGATTTAAACAGACGCCGCACTTCAGCGAATAACTCATCCGGCACTGTTTGTGCCAAAGACATGAATGATGCTTCAAACTGTGTGGCTTGTTGAGCAGAGGTGTGTTATTACTTTTATAAGTGGCCTGACTTATTTCAATCTGGTGGATGATAAAACTGGAGGGAAAAAATCTTCTACACTAACACTAAAGGAGGAACACAAGCCATATAGCACTAGAACATAAGAACATTTTACATTTTGGGGTGGACTTTTTTGACTTTGGCCAGAAAGCAACCACCTGGCCTGTGTAATGTAGCTGACATTAAAAATATGAGGAAGATGATGTAGAGAGCCCAGGTGCAGTTTTATTTAATAGTGATAATCCACAAAACATAAACATGAACATGTTAATTAAACCCAGTGCATGAAACAAAACATAAACATTAACAATGAGCTTGGCTTGACCAATCATATTTGACCAATATTGCTTCTAATCCATTTCATCTGCGATATTTTAGCAAACACTGTGTGAGCGTCACTACAGGAAGCAGAAATTTATCTGACTTGGCACACCATTCTGGTAACACTTAAAAGAATGATGGCTCTTTAAAGGTTCTTCACACATATTTAGAAACATTTTAATGCCTTTGTTTTAGAGTTTAGGCTGCTTTATTCCAAAGGTTTTTTTTTATTTTTATTTTTTTATCTGTAACTGTCAAATCTTTCAACTATTTGGAGCTCAGCCATCCAACTACATGGACTGCCATACTGTGTGTTTTTAATTTTAAATTTTTTTAACACAGCATCTAAATGCGACCAGCTCTGTTCAGCTGAGGATACTACTTCTCCGCTAAGCAACTGTGTGACAGAGATATTGAATTTTC